TTGGAGTTTGGGGTGGAGCACCAAATTATCAAAGTCACTTTTCCAGCTTCCCTTCTTTCCACCTTCACTCACGTTTACTCCATTTATAAGTTCATCTGAGTTCTTATCTTTGTTTTCTGTATTTTCATTCGCTTCTTTAATTTCTGGGGCTGCAACCCCATCATCTTTTTTTGTGATACCCCATAGTCTGTCCCATTTCTTGTCAAATCTCTCAACTTCTGAGAAGTTTTGAAGTCCAGCCAAAATGCTTTGAATTATCAAGTTTTCTTCATCTGAGTATTGCTCCATTTTTTAGAGTAAGGAAAAATATTTTTAAAAAAGCAAGAAGAATTTGCCACTCTAGCCTGTCACAGATTTTGAAGAATATATCTATTTTTATTTTAAATCTTAAACAAATGTTCTTTTATGGTTTTCAAAGAAGAAGTCCTAAAGTTTTTCTTTCCTTTTCCAATTCTTGCCAATATGTTTTCCACACACCTTATTTGTACCTTGGGTCTTTATCAGGTTTTAAAGAGAAGTTCCAAACCCTTCTGTTGCATAGTCAGTGAAGTCAGATAAGAGTGAACAAAGGAAACATTGTTACAACAGCAAAGGAAAAAAAGCTTCAGACTTGGGCTTCCAAGTAGCAGATTCGACTATTTTAAAACCTTTTTCCTTAAGTATCTTTAATATGATATTGTAACAAGTAGAAGAATAAATTTATTAAAGTAAAAGGAGTTTTAATTTAAGCCAAAAAAGTTAAAGTAGTAAAGGGAAATAGAGAAAAAAAGATCCCTTCACCTCAAGCGAAAAAAATGGAAACGTTGCAATCACTCAATCCACAAAAGATCATTACAGGCAAGAGCAAAAAACTTTCTAAGGAAGTCCAATAGGGATTAAATACGCCGCTTTGTTCTTGCTTAAGGACTAATTTAACTTAAGAAAAGAGTTTCTTAGGGCAATCTTCTAAAAGAAAAGAAAAAAAAACCTCATCGGGTGAAAACACATTCATTTCTCTCTTCCTGGAGCCATCTCCAACTATGTCAGCGGGGGGGGGGGCTGCCTGTTTGCCGCTGGTTGGAAGCGCTTCCCTTGGGTCGATCAGGGACTTTGCGATGTCCCTGTGACCAGCAAGGTCTTGTCTTCCCAGTCACCGTCTCTTTGGGATGGTTTAGGTACTGCCAGACCATCCAGGGGCAAAAGTATCATCGGCGGATTCGGACAGTCGAATCCGCACAATGTAACATTGCGACATTGGCTCTTCCCACCAATAAAATCTTTTTCAATTAATAAAAGGAAAAACAATGTGACTCATTTAAATTCTAGAACTTTTTAAAAAACACTAATAACCAGTTGAATGAAAAAGTTAATAAGAAATTCAGCAAAACTGCAGAGGGATCTAAGGAAATTAATGTGCTTAATGCAACCCAATCTATTTTGTTAGATACTTTTGACTAAAATAAATAAAGTAAGAAAATGTCCTTTTGGAAAGTAATATCAATATTTTTAATATCCACATTTATTTCCAAGCTGATATCAGGACTATATATTCCTTTTTATATTCCTTTTTAGGATCTTAAATTCCTTTTTAGGATCTTTGGCCTGCCACACTCTCTAGTATTTCACTATGCTGTTTCATTAGAATAGTAATTGGGAGGGGGGAATAGAAAGGAGTAGAATTGTGGAATGTGTTGTTGTCATTCTTTCTAGAAGCCAAGGTCCTCTTTTGTCTCCACACCTCTGTGTCTGACCCAAACTAGATGGGTGGAAATGCCAGCGTGGCTGAAGAAGATTGGACCATGTGATGGATTTATGGGTGTGGGGATAAGAT